TGATAAGCTGATAAGCTAAATATAGCAAAATTAATTATAGTAATTAGCACGTTATTAAGAAAAGACTTAGAAAAATAATGAAAAAGAAAAATTACGAAGAAATTATAGTATTGTTACAAACTATAAGATCTCTATAAAAGTTAAAGATTTACTTAGCCATAAAATTAAGCTATAGCTAAGTTATATAAGTTCAGACAAAAAACTCAAAACCCAATTTTCTTATATGATAGCAACAATATTAGTAATATAAGCTAATCTTAGCTCATTAGCTAAATAAGTAAACTAAGTATTAATCTGTACTTTTATAAGCTAAGGCCAACTAAAGTAAAGTAAATTTTGGTCTGACAATTTTAATATAGTAGTTAAGTTATCAGACTACTATATAAGAGATCTAAGGTTCAAATCTCACTGTTGATGAATTTGAATAATTATAAGACTTTTGTATTTAACTTATAGTAAACTCTGTTTATTTCTAATAGTTGTAACTCTATAAATAACATTACACTAATATCAATTAGTTATTGAAAGTATAACACAATATTCAAGTTATGTTATATAAATATATTTTAATAGAATTTACAAGCAGGAGACCTGTATAGTAAAAATCCTAAATTAGATAAAGTAGTATAGATTTTGATAGTCATACTAGTTAATATTTAATTCAGAAAAAAAATCTATATACAAAGGTTGCAGATCGAGCAGATATGAATAAATCTACTATATAATATAGCCTGATATCTTGCATTAGCAACAACACCAACTTGGCTTAACGGCTAACTAAATTTAGAAAGACTAATTTGGTAGAGAGCTATAGTAGGAACTAGGTTTATATAAATATCTATAAGAGTATATACTAGCTTAATTAGGATATAGCACAGCATAGTTGAGATATTCTGCAAGCTTCTTCTAAAGAAAACAAAAAGATACCTTGAGATAGAACTCTTCTAATAAGAAAAACTGAGATACAAGCTAGTCTGAGTGGTTCTTAATGAAGTAGCATGAGATTGTATAGATTTAAGAATAAATTTAGGTTAATGTTAGAGATAACAAGAATGCCAGAGAGTTTAAAATAGAGTATCCACAAATAGATACTAGATATAGCAACTAGTAGATAACTTTTAGGTAGAATCTTTAAATAGACAATAATTAAAGTTGTATATATGACCAATTATACTCTCACTAACCAATGTAAACCTACAAACAACTTAATAAAAATTAACCAGTATCGAGGCCTTGTTGTAACAATAAAAAAAAAAAAAAAAAAAAAAAAAAAAAAGGTAAAGTAAATTTTTATAATTTGAGCCAGCTTATATAATAACTTACTTAATGCTAGTGGAATTAAAATCAGCAGACTATAAAATAAATACTTATCTTACACAACTCAATTTCTTTAAATCCTTTTTATTTAGTGTGGGAGTGTAAAGATGATTTATTATCTAGTGTTAAAAATCAGCAAACCACAAATATAATATTTATTTACTATAATTTAAAATCTTTTTTATTCAGTAGATGAGTATAAAGATGATTTATTATTCGGTCTAATCAAAATCAATAATCATGAGCATAATACTTATTTTCACAAACTAATTCCTTTCAAATATTTTTAATTTAGTGTGATATTGTAAAGATGATTTATTATTTTTATTATCTGATAGAATTAAAATCAGAAAACCATGAACATAATACTTATTTCCACAACCCAATTCCATTCAAGACTTTTAATTTAGCATGAGAGTGTAAAAATGATATATTATCCAGTTAAATTAGAATCAGCAAACCATGAACGTATTACTTATTTTACACAACCTAAATACCTTCAAATATTCATCCAGTAGATAAGTGTAAAGAATGTTTTATTATTCAGAAATGCCTGAACTCTGAGATTTCGTGCTTCTTTAAATTAATAAAATCGCAATACAAAATACAATATGATTACAGTTATTTTCGTTATTAAAAATAGACTATCTAATTTGATAGTTTTTGATTTTGGTATATGCTGAAATCAAAAATTTATCGAATCGGATAGTCTAATTTTTAATCAGGTGTACAGGAGTAATTTAGCTATGTATAATTAGGCGAAACAAGTTTTTTATTAGAATGGTCGGCCCGGTTGACCGGGTCGAACGATATTGACCTCAGCTTCGGCCTAAGGTTTTGCAATAAGCCCACATCACTAAACAATATTCATTAGCTGATTAAATAACTTGCACTTTGAGAAATTTGACTGTTATTTAGCATTTTAGATACCTGAAAGTCGGTTTATTATTTTTTATTTATTTATATGATTTAATTAGGAAAAGTAATATTTACATATAGAAGACGTTTTCCTATGAAAAAAATAATCGAAGATACTAATGCGCCTTTTGCAACGGGAAATCCACCCCAATTACCTGAAATTTCAGAAAGAATTATATGTGATCCTATTATATGAGTTGTCGAAGAAAAATACAGAAATACAGCTAAAAGGACTGAACCACTACCGTTACATAACTTTACTATTATGACAAAAACGATTGGAATTAAGTATACCAACCATATCCATTTACTAACTACAATTGATGTATGCATTAACCTAATAATTAATGCTGTCATTCCTACCCAACCAGCAGTACCCAGCAGACATGATAATATTCCACCAAAAATCGAATAAAAAATATCCCGATTGGTATTAGATTTAGGATTTTCATTAATTTTACCTTCATTAATTTTACTTATCAACATACTTGCCATACCATCGTTAAACATTTTGAAACTCCATGGAGAAAGTTGCCCAATTGCTATAACAGTTAGTGGCCAATATCCTTTACATTGAACACATGTATAAATGTTTGGTCCGATTGTCAGAGCAGCCGAGATGAATGCCCACAACAGAGTTTGGGATTGATACGGTTTACCCCATTTCCATGGTGAAAACAAAGGAAAATTGCAATATAATAATAAACTGGAAATAAATGATAAGGTCCAACAGACAAAACCGAATGTTCCAAACGGTAATCCATAACAAACTACTTGCTTTCCTATCATTTCTTCATATCCAACTAAAAACAAATTTCGAGCGAAAATACTTTGAATTTTGTATTTATTACACGTGTAAACCTTTATTAATTTGATAGACTTAATAACTATACAAACTTACTTGTTGTATTATTTGATGACATGATGATTAATAAGACAAAAAAAAAACGGGATAAGAGAAGAAAGTTTCTTTTTTTCCGTCAGATTATTATGATCGAAAAAAGTTATTTGGTAGAAAAACGATAGTCTATTTAGTTATTTGTCAGTGTTAAGGTCAGGAATTGTTTCGGAATCGAATATCGATAAGGTATCTCCTTATGTGTGATTAAGTCGACTCGCCGGAGGCGTGAATAAGGTGATTTGGGATCCTTAATGATTTAAGTTTATAATTATCCTTATGAGCTGTAACCAACCATTCCTGCCGCTAGTCCTTTAAATATTTTTTCTCATTGTATAATCTGAAGAGGCTTTGACTGTACGTACTTTCTAATCTGCTAACGTTCTTGGATCTGCGTCTTTCGACTCTTCATCGAGAATCGCTTAAGCCTTCAACGATCATCCAAGCCTACGACGATTGCTCATCACAATAAGCACCCTGTTCTGACGATGCAGTTCTTTATGTTTTCAGCAATATCATTCTTTAGTTTGTGACATTCTCCTATGCTTTATTTTATACATCACGCATACATATTTTTCTATCTTTTTGATCTCACTGCTTTGGGCCTAGAGGTTGGAACCGGATTGCACACCCGAATTTAAACCGGCTCAACTCGATTCGAATATAAAACCGGGTCGATTTTTTCAGCATAATGGAAATTTGTTTAAAAAAATGATTGACAATTTATAAATAAAATTTTCATTGGTTAAAACTAAATATGGCTTTTTGTAAAACCGTAAAGTTCGAAATTTTTAATCGAAAAAAAAAATTATTGGCTGTTTTTTTTTAAATTCCAAAAATTTAATGTAATACCTCTATGTTACATAGTGCCATTGTCAGAATCGCTTCTAGTAAAAGTTAACTACCCCAGGAACACCCCCAAAAAAATTCTGCATAGCTCCGACTAAAGATTATCAAAATTCATTATCGTTATCGTTATGGTTAGTTTTGACCATCGAATAAAAATGTTTAGTAAGAATGTTTATAACAAAGTTCTGCTTTACACTACTCTAATAAAATAATAATAATTTCTATGCTGTTTATCTTAATTCATAAAAAAAAAAAATACAAAATTTTGATTAATATTAATGCTAATACGCATAAACTATTCATTAGTATCCATTGCTAAGATCTTTTCAAATAAACAACTTGACATTTCTTTGAGTGTCAAAATTTCTACTTCAATATTAGAATTTGAACGTTTATATTGCAAGGAAGAATTATAACAACATAGATTACAAGTTTTGAATTGCTGGTTATTTTTGTCAATAAAGTTTTCTTAAAGATAAATTTTTTCGACATTTTTTACTCTCTAATAAATTATTAGTAATCGAATCCATTTTATAGACAGCAATAAAAAATACACCTCCGTAAAATTTATTAATAATATTACTATACAATATAATTAGTCGCGGAATTTTTTTGGATCCCCAATTCGGGCCAGCCGGCCCGCATTACGTAATTTTAAGAAACTCACAAGAAAATCTTTATCCCGCGTATCACGCGCGTGATGCGCATCCCGCGCGGGATATTTTGAAATTTTGCCCATCACTAGACGTTTATGCAAAAGTTTCAAAATTGACAGGTCAGCGATTACATTTTTGATAGATCTACGATGAACTCAAAATTTGATTACGTTCTTGATGCACTTTTAATAAAATATTTTTCAACTTTGAGCGAAGATATCTCAACAACCGCCCGATCAATATCGATGATTTTTTTATTTGAATTCCATACAACCATAGAATTAAAACAAACAAAACAAAACAAAAAAAAAAAAAAAAAAAAAATTTAAAGAATTTGGTCAAGTAGTTATTGAGATATCTTCGCTCAAAGTTCAAAAATATTTTATTAAAAATGCATCAAGAACGTAATCAAATTTTGAGTACATCGTAGATCTATCAAAAATGTAACCGTTGACCTATCAATTTTGAAACTTTTGCATCATTTATCATAGAATTTTTTTTGGGGGGTGCTCTTGGGGTAGTTGTAAAAGTTGGTTCACGAAATTTATGTATCTAAAAATAATTTGATAACGATATAGTTTTAGGTGACATGTCTATTCGAATTGAAATTTTCTATTGAAAACCAATATAAAAAATGGGTCCGTATCATTTCACCGACAATCATTTCATCGACAGCTCATTTAGCCGACATCACGCCAAGTGACAATTTACTAAAAATATATACTAAATGAACTTTCGGTGAAATGACAGTTGGTGAAGTGAGCGGCACCGATAAAAAAATCGTGTAACAGAACTTTCAATAGAAAATAAATAACCAATAAAAACACTTCCATCATGCTGATTTGAAAATCGGATTCAGTAAAACCGGGTTTAACCCGATTTTTTAACCCGATCATAATGATAATGATAATACTAATAGAGGGTTGAAACCTGATGCACATCTTACTTTCATTATTCCTGGGCACCTGATTAAATCTGATAAGTTGTCAGCACGATATATATAGTACATACATTAGTGGGCAAAGTGAACAAATAGACTGATCTTCTCTATGTCACTGCGCAATTTTCATCTCAAACATCTTGAACATCCCGAGTAGTTTAGCAATTACCATAGCCCTAAAACCGGATATTTTTGTTTCATCAAAGATGCCTTTTACGGTTTAATTAACAATCACTTAATAAACATCTCATTCCGATCATAATATAATTATCACATAAATTCCTATCCAAATCATCTTAGTCACACCTCTGGCGAGAACCCGATAAATCAATTACCATTTTCGAGTCCAACAATACTACTCAGTATTACAATGTCAATACTAAGTTTTCGTTTGAATTCTTGTTCAGTATGTTTAGCCTGTAAGGAAATTTATGGCAAAGACTATTTTTATCAACCAATCGACATTAATAAAAGCATAAAAAAAGGTTCTGAATATAATATAAATTTTTATAATAAATATATTATGTAATAATGAGTTAAAAAAATTGTGTTCAAAATGTGACAAGAATTTATTAACTAGTTTAAAAAATAATCCTCACATAATCTTGATATACGTAGCGATAGTGATCGGGAGATCATAACTAATATTGATATATACTGTACTAATAATGCCGAAAATCAAAAACTTTTCGAATTGGATAGTTAAATCACTCGGCTAATTTTTAATCAGGTGTTCCAGGAGTAGCTGTAATTACAGTAATTTTATAATTTCTCGACCATGTCAATTTTGTTAGAACTCGATCGAAATATGCGTCACGAGGGATCGGGTCTAACCACAACAACACCAATCTAACAATAAACCCTAAGTGGAAGGCGTCGAAAGAGGAAGTGAAAGATTTGGCTGGCTATTCTTGGATTATCGATATTTCTAGGTCACGTGGTACGAGATCTTAGTCCCGATCTTTAGTAAGTCAAGAGGCAATTCTTGACTTATTGAGGGGTTTTGTTATTATCGGGGGGTAATTGGGGATAAGCGAATGTGGTATTTAGGAGTTATTTAGGGGTCTTCGAATGGTCTCAACTTGAGATATTTTATTGAAGGTAAAATTCGAGGCACTTATATACTATACTAAATTATATGAATCAGGAAAAATACAGAATGTAGAAAAATCAAAGAAATCCTAAAAATCTGGGAAATATGGGACGGGATTTGAAAAATCACGTCCTAACAAACAAAGGATTTTCGGGATTGTGGCTTTAGATCCGCAGTTTTTCCGGGGTGGCAGTTTTGACCTTTACAACAGTAAGTGATTACAGCTGTTCTCACAAATTCTGGGACAAACTAAAAATTTATTCGTTTCCTGAAATCTCGTTTTCGTTCTGTGAATCATCCAAATCCTCAAAGGTTATATCGCTGCCTCAGAAGATAGCAACGTAGTTTTCGAAAAGTTGATGATTCTTGGGACAAAATTGAAAAGATTCCGGTAAACGGACAAAATTTTTAGTTTGCCTCAGAATTTATGAGAACAGCTGTAAAAAACGGATTGTAAAAATAAAACCGGTTCCTACTTTCTCCTTTACTAATGAAGAGCTGCCTTATCTATTATAGCATTCTTTAACTTTCTAATACATTCAATCAGATGAACAATTTTAATCACTTTTATTCTTATAAATGAACTACGCTAATTATTATTTTTGTTAGCAAGTCCCTTATTTTCAAATTGCCACTTGATCTTTTTTAATACTTTGAGATTGCAATTATCCGTATTAATTATATAAATCTATGCAAACAAAAATATATTGAGCTTTTTTGGTAATATTTATTTACCAATACCGTATTTTCGGTAATAACGCGCAGGTGCGCGTTATTTCGAGCACCTGCGCGATATGCCGAAACGCGAATGCGCGATAATTCGAATCATTTAGTAAATTTTTGGTAAAGAATTATAACGGGTTTGACGAAACTATGTGATGCTAATCATCACACAGCCATGAATAGTAACATGTGAATTCACATGTTAATAGCACTAATATTATTAACATGTGGCTGTGTGATGATTGGCGTCACATAGTTTCGTCAAGCAACTATGAACGGGTATAACCTCTAATTTGAAGGGTAGGAGGGCGCGTTATTTCGGGACGCAGTCAAATTAGCAATTTTTAAAAAAAGTCAAGATTTCGCATGCGCGTTATTACGCGAAAATACGGTAAGTATTAGGTTATAAATATAACTTCCTGGCAAAGTACTATTAAACATTTTTGTACAGTGGCTACTATTTTGAATTATAAAGATGTTTGTTTATTAGAATTTTTTAGATCTATTTAACTTTAAAACAAATGATTAAAATAGTTTTATTAAAAAATATATTATTTAGTTTTTAATTCGAAAACTAATATTTCCACATCTCCTTTGATATTTTTACATTTCATGTTAATAATTTAATTAAGAGTTTTAATAATATATTGATACATATAAAATAGGTATCAGATTTTAGGTTTGTACTAAATAAATTAATATATATTCGTAGCTTAAAAAAATTCATCTGAAATAGCTTTTGTATCTTTTATTTTCTAATGAAA